CCAGCGAGTTACCAGGAGTTACCAGCTCGCAGTATAGCCCTTCTCCCTCGGAGTCAAGTGCGAGAAACAGTCAATCAGTTTCGTCTGCGCGAATAAAAAGTTGGGTGCGTCGTTCTGATTGACTGGGATTTAGTATTATTAGCAGTTTTTGCTGAAGATGAAGAGAGACAAACACAAAGTGATATATTAAAGCAAAAACAATTCTGGGTACATCATTTGTGGAGAACACGAGAGACACTCAGTGTGAGTCGAGACACGTGTGCTTCCTCCTTTGCCTACGCGCCCAGCCCAGGCTGCACCCCATTTGCCGACAACACCGCCACATCCGGCTTAAACCTTATTTCAATTAGTGTGGCTGTCATATGCCAAGACGTGGCGCGGTGTGGTTGTATCAAAAAAGTAAAATTAAAATAATATGAATTCTAAACACATTGAAATTGACTTGATCAGTAATAAAACCCTTGACATAGCCGTATCGTGTCGCGACGTCAGTCAGCGCCGGCTCTATTGAGTGGCTGGGCTTTTAGAGATTTAAGAATGTAAGACTGATGAGTGTCAATATAACAATTTATAAGTATGGATTAACCTAAATCAAGAGAGAGATTGAGGTGTACTAGAAAATAATAGTAATATATACATTTTAAACCCACAACCCGTTAAAGAAATAACTCGAATAATTTTACCGTCACCTAAATAGGATCCAATTTCACGCAGTGAAAACCCTTCGGTGGGCGAACGAGGTGCGTCACTAATGTGCGCTGGGGTGTGAATGCTCCTCCTAGTTCACTAGTTCCAAGCTTTCCACCCTCGCGATTATCCGACTGACGCATCGGTTACACCTTTGCGGAGTTCAATTTCGCTGAGACTCACTTACGTAGGTGAGAGCATAATTTGAATTTTAATAATGGAAAATATTATTTTCATGAAATGCCACTTGGCAGGAATTTATTTCTTGTAAAATAGAAATGCTATCTTTGTGGTGAAGGATGAAGAATACGGCGTTATCCCGTGGTTGTCTTAAGAGCCGACTAAGGAAGCAAACTACGCAGGACAATAGCACTGCAAAGAGACGGGAAACTTCACACGAATCCTTTAGTCCCTCTCCGTCTGGCCAGCGTCGTATAGTAGGCTAAAACCTCCTTTATACGGAAAGATCTATGTCCAACAGTGGACTAATAAGAGCTGTTGATGCAGGATAATAGCACTGCAAAGAAAAGGAAAACTTGACACAAACCATATGACAACAAGACGACAACGAGACAGGTCAACAACAAAGAAAGAACAACAACACGGGTCAAAACCACCTTTGTAAGTTGAGACCTGTGTTATTAAAACGCCCTACACTGTTGTTTATTTAGAACATTAATGCTCTCAATGTTATACGGAAACCAATCTCAGAATGCTATTTTATTAATATTTAAGCGACAAGCAAAAAATTTCTCAAAAGTAATAAACAATTATTTTTTTAATATGACGATGCTGGTCCGGTCTTCGTCCACGTAAAATGTGTATTTCGGGTGGTCTGTTTTCTGACGAAGCTTTTATTAATCTCTATATTATTTAAGTTATTATGAAGTTATTCAAATAGTAATTATATCTCTATATAAATAAGTAAAACAGAGAGTTACTAACTTTCAAGCTATTTTATTTCATATTTTATAATTATGTCTTTGTGGCAATGGTCGTAGGCTGACTATGACTAAGGCCAGAATAAAACAAACCACCAGCCACCTGGTCAAAAAGTAAGGCATTTCAATTTTATGAACTTAAAATCTATTGTGACCGCGTAAATATAATAAAAAAACAAGGCTTACAAGATGGTACGGATTCTTGTATTTTCGATTTTAGTGGGTTTGATACTCCACACATGGGTAAGGCGAGAAAGTTGACAGGGATTTGTTTCCCATACAAATTTTGATAGCCACAAAATTAGCTGTTGCTCAAAATGTTCTTTTTTGACAGGTTTTGTTTATTTCTATCCCAATATTGATCAAAACTGATTCTAGTGTTAATGAATTACCAAGAACTGCACATTTTGACCTTCATGAACTTATGACCTTGAGAATGCTAGGAAAACGTGCTTAATTTTGGAATAAAAGTATCACGGTATGTATACAAAAAATGAAAAAAAACATATGTCGATGTCTTTTAATGGTTTCAAAGTAATGTGCAGCCAAGATACAGACAAACAGATATTAAAAAATGAATTAAATCAAGTGTTCATCGTCAGCCTATCGCAGTCAATTGCTGGACATAGGCCTCTCCCATCGCACGCCCCTTAGATCAATTTTGGGCTTCTCGCATTCAGCTCCTGCCAGCTAGTTGCCAGTTTTAATATCGATTAATAAAATGTTTACATTTTTTTTTAAATATCTGTAAATAGTTATGTATTGAATTGTATCTGTTACTGTTTTATTATTAATCTAGATAGAACACCGAAAAAACATACATGGCCACTGAAATATAATAAGTAATAACTTTGTTGAAGACAGAAAGTCAATAGATTATATTTAAAAAAAAAACGGCATTCCTTTCGCTTTGTGATATTATATCTTATATGCTATATCATATTTTCTATACACAGTTACCATTTTTATCTTTAATCGTCCCGGGTGACAACAGCAGGCAGGATCGGAGTGGGCCTATTTTTTTTTTTTTTTTTTTTTATTTATTCATATCGTATCGAGTAACAAAACTCATAGTGTTAGTAACAATTTGACTTATAACTATGTTAGTAAATGAAAAATAAAAACACAGCGAAATACAATGACATGAACCGGTACCTAACATGGCACATACATGGGCATTATGCTGCAGGTCCAGCAGAAAGTCTGCAACACCGGTTCACGATCGCGCAATCCATTCGGCTAGCGATCATTTTTAGAATGCTGTTGGTGCTGCCCCGCACCCTGCGTACCAGGGACGCGCATCTCTTACGCATTACTGTATAACGCTATACGCATACGCATTACGCTATAAATATTCCATTTAAAGATGTCCTGTAGTATAGTCCTATCATAATAATAGTATAATTAATTACTCCACACTGACACCACATTAGTAGTATTAGTAGCATCTACATTGCACCCGTGCGAAGCCGGGGCGGATCGCTAGTAATTATACTGCTCCGTTACTGCCGGCCGTTGTCATCCGGGACGGACGTACGTTCAGGATGCGAACGCGGCGACGGCCACTTTTCGCCGCATTTTAAACCTCTAATATCTTCTGAAATATTCTTTTTAATGATATACTGTATAATGAATTCAAAATTTGATGAAGTCTTTTTTCTTTAGTGAGATAAAATTCACTTGAGTTTCTGATAAAATTAACCGATAAGTCAAAACTGATGAGTCAGTGCTCTGTTTGTGACTATACGTTATTTCTATTTTTGATTAACAAATCAAAACGCGTTGTTACCTTTGCACAGCGTTACATTTTTCATTACAAGTTTAATGCTGAGATGATTAATGAGGAGTCAAGCTAATTCAGTATTTTTGACTTAATTTAATTATTTAAAATTTGTGTGGCGTTAGTGCGGGGGTTGCCAATTACGCACTTTACTTTTCAAATTTTATTTTTTCTTCAATTTCCTTATTGCCGAGGGTCCCGCATTGAATGAACTTTTCCCATCATAAGAAGCTTTTTCCTGATAGCTTTTTCCTAGCTATTAGATCAAATAAGACAGATTACGATGGCAGATCGTTGAAAATGTTACGATGATTCCATGATTAAGTAACTGATCAATGGTACAAAGCTTGCTCATCAAATGCAATTTTCGATCATTTGTACCGCGCTTAATTAATGCGTAGACTTAGAACAAAGCTCACTGAAAAGTCATTTTTTGGATAGCCATCTTTTGTGGTAGTTTTCAGCAATTGTATTTAGCTTGTAAATTGTGGTGACGGATTAAGAATACGAAGTGTCACCACCCTCATTCATCCCGTGGGTGTCAGAGCAGACTAAGGAAAAAAAGCGTCTGCGTTTCTGTCTCGTACTTATTTGTCCAGTACCACTTTTCTCAACCGCAGTATCCGATTCACACGTCGTAGGCGCAAGCGCAGTTCCCATAGGACGTGTGGTACTGTATCCTGATGGAGCCGATGCCGGAGGAGGTGAGCGTCCAAGCGGCATATCTAGAGAACCGCACTAATTCCGTTGAACTACCAGGCGATCAGAAATAGTATGGAGTTTTGCAACACGTATGATGGGCAGGGGTCACTAAAATGGTCACCGATCGAGGATTTGATACGATTTTTCGTTTTGCCAGTATAACTTGCCCCCTCAATAGAAATACACTTTATTAATAAGTTGCATTCATTGCATATGTCTATCCTTATTTACTCAGCGTCCAAGCACTGATCGGGTGTAGTTGTCCTTTTTTATAAATTTTGCACGCACACATGTGATATTAAGATATCATTACGTTATCGCAGCACGGTGAGCTTTGAGAAGGCACCTCACGTTTATGCACTCCGAATACTAGCACTTGAATATAATAATTTCCTTTTGATAAAAACCACACGAAATTCGCCTCTCTGTTTAGAATAATAGTAAAACATGTTAAGATTGACATATTATACGAATACTTTGTGAAAGTCTGTCTGGTCATGGTCTCAGCTTAAAAGAAAGTGCAGGAGTATCGCTGATAATGAAGCAAACAAACCCGTAACATTCTCCTTTCTTTATGGTACCCTATAATGTTAGATTTTTCCGATCCATCGGGTAAACTTGTCAAATAATTAATGAACAAATTTACAAACTTGTGTAGGTATAAGACAAATTATATTTGTCTTGAACCCAACACCCAAGGTGTATTGTTCATCCATAGGAATAATAAATGACGCAAAAGGGGATTAAAAACTCGAAACCAGGTTAAATGACGTCAGTCTGAATGCTAATGAGGTATTTTCTCCTTTAAAAGCCCAGACTTCATATGATGATATTACATTCAAACCGTATCTTTCAAAGCAGTAACAACACAAAATTCAGTAAAATCCAACATGAAAGTCTCTACGGTACTCATCTTACTTGTTCTAGTGGTTGGTCATGAATCAGCTCGAACTTCTCAAGTATATTGCGGACGTCGGCTTTCTGACGTCCTGGCAGTACTCTGTTGGGATTCTGAAATCGTCAAACGTGATGTTGAGATGGTGAAACGTTCCGAGTGGCGGATGCCAATGGAAAGCGCTCTGGCTCTTGATGGTGTTCGTGGTAAACGAGGCCCCGTCGACGAGTGCTGCTATAAACCCTGCACCATCGATGAACTGTTCACATACTGCTAACGAAATTCTTCTGCTCTACTTTGATTGTAAATTAAAGTTGATGTAAATAAATAAATATATGGTCAATTAAATTACTTATTTCAATTTGGACGGTTTCAGTACCTACGTAAATTTTGTAATCCTATAAAAAACGAAAGTTTAACGTTTTATAAAAACTCTCTCACTTCTCGTAAACGAAAGACGAAAATTTGTAAAAAAAATAATAATAATAATAATAATGAGAATATCTTGGGCCATGCGCCTTAAATAGAAGGGATGCGAGAGCGGCAGTTATTAAGACATCCAGACCGCACCTAGCACCTGTCCCCAATAGCTCGTGCACCACCTTCGAGTTAATTCTCTATTTAGGTGACGTTCTGCACACGGTTGCCTGGTGCGGTAACCGCTTATGGCCATAATCGCCAACACCCTAATCTGGGCAGTCAGAGCCTCCTCCTATAGCGGTGCACCATACAGTGCCACTGGCCGGACAACCATGTACAGCCGTCTTGTCGTGACGCTGGGTCCACCGAGATTGGGCATAAGTCGCAATAGGGCAGACCCGGTGCCGACTAGTTTTGGAGCAAGCGTAATATAAGCGAAACGCCCCCTCGATGCGCTCGACCATAAGAAAATCTCCCCTGTTGAATAGGTCCGCCTCTTCAAAGTTCGCCTCTACGACTGTTAAATGTGTTGGCGATTTCCAATGAAACCGCCAACAGCGCGTTGCCAAACTATTGGAACCTAATAAAACTGAAGTATTTTTGGAAAGATTGATCACTGCTGATGAAAAGTGGATCACTTACGGTCGGACGGACGGTCAAAGAGTATAAAATAATAAGGGTATAAATAATATAATAATCATTAATATTTATATCAGAATTCATTAATATAATATGTCAATTCCATGTGAGAAGGCGTTCATCGAGTGGTTTAATAATTTAGGTGACTTGTAAGGGCAAAACTGTCTAACATTATTAAGATTGTTCTTCAATATCATTTTGAATATTAACGACTGTTCAGGTATAAAAGAAGTGAATCTGATGAAAACGTTTCATTTGAGTCTTACACCTTAAGACGTAACCGTACTTAAAAGTTCATATACTTAGAGCGTCCACCATGAAATTTTTAGAAGTATTACTCTTAGCTGCGTTGATCGGCAGTAACGTTTCAGCAGGAAAGTCAAGGACATTCTGCGGCTCTGGACTGTCTGATATAGTGGCGAGCTTGTGCTGGAACGTAGAGATCGTAAAGCGTGGTGCTGGATGGTGGATGTCACCAGAAGGGGGACGAATGCTTGGGGCTATGCGTGACAAACGGGGTCTGGTCGACGAGTGCTGCTATAAACCTTGTACTATTGATGAGCTGCTCACATACTGCTAACGGACTTTTGAACTGATTGTAACTACAAGTTTATATAAATAAATATATTCTTTCTCAATTAAATTTCGTATTTAATTTTGGTCAGTTCCAGTTCATTCATTCTTCAAATTTTGTATTGCCGGTTTACTTCTAGTAAGCGCCAAAAATGACATTCCATTGGAAGACTTCAACAAGTTTCGGATGCCACTGTAATTCGAGGTGAATTATGTTTACACAACAATATGTATATCACACTGATTGAAGTATTTTTGTTTGTATGTTTGTTTAACTCGAGCGTCACAAAAAAACTTTTTTTTATGATAGCCCGATTCATGAGACAACTAACATTTAAACTACACCCCCCTCATCAAGGTTAAAAATCATTTTTTATCATATCATAAATACAACGGAGTATTAAAATCTACATCCGCATCTATTCTATCATCTGCATCTATTTAATATATTTCTATCTTATATTAATGATATTTTTCATATTAAAATAAGTAATTAGGTGATCCGAGAGATGTGTTATAAAAGCTTACTAGGTTTGCAAAGTTCATGATGTGGTTGTACTTGAAGATGCTGATATCACAGAGCTTTTTACTTGGAATTCCTTTTAAACCAATGTACCTATCGATAAAGAAGAAGGCGATCAAGACAATATACCAAGCGCTACTATTCTGTGAGACATATAGTCCAGCCATAGCCTACCTAGATTTGAACTAGCGGTACCGTTGACGATCTATTTAAGTACCTAAATTATGATGCGTAAAACTTATATTCAAAACCCACGGTTTCATGAACCCTAAACATCTTCTGATGTCAAATTAACTCATAATATGTTCGGAAAGCCTGAATTTTATAAAGTCCTGATGAATCAGACTGTCCCATGTTTTAGATTTTCGCATCACACATCATCAACAGCCTTTAATACTCCACTGCTCGACATAGGCCTCTCCTTAGAAAGGAGGTTTAGACCTACTATACCACGCTGGCCAGACCAACTCGTCTGTCTCGTTTCCTTCTTTTTGCAGTGCTGGTGTCCTGCGTTGTTTTGCGCCCTTAGTCGGCTCTCACGACACCCATGGGATGAATTGGGGTAGTGACATTCCGTGTTTTTAATCCGTCACTACACGGACAGCATTAGCTTTTGGTAGCGTGTAAATAACCCCATTAGATTGAGAAAAAAAATATATTTTGGCAACTCAATGTATAGATGTTTATAGTATCCCATATTCTGTGTCTGGTCGATTAGTTTCTTTTTGTAACTAAGTAACTAACTATATTAAGATAACTGCATTAACAATACAAAATACGTTGCTGCCTTTGCATACAGCTACATTTTTCATAATGAATTTAATATTGTTAGTACATAGTACCGAGGAGTCTAGCTTATTCTCTATTCCGGGTCCACTTCCAGTAAAAAAAAGTTTTTTTTTAGGATTGCATGTATGTTTAATACAAATATATGATATATTTTTTGGACTGGATTTTAGGATTTTTGTAGTGTCAGTGCGGGAGTTACGCAAGGCATTTTGACTTTATTGACTCTACGAATGAGATCATAGGTTAGGCATTTTAGAAAAGTAATCTTTTGGTGGTGGCCAGTAAAGAGAACTCGAGGAGGTACAATCTATAGAAAAAAAAAAGTAAACCTTTGCGTTTTGTTTTTTAAGATATATATAGATATAATATTTCTAATATACATATACTAAGGATAGAAAACGAACATGATAAAAGAGTATTGTGTAAAATATATATTTAAAGATTTAAAAACATCTTAATTTTTAACATTTACTTATTTATTAATAATATTATAAACATATTACCTTAAATTACACTAATATTATAAAGCTGAAGAGTTTGTTTGTTTGATTGTTTGAACGCGCTAATCTCAGGAACTACTCGTCCGATTTGAAAAATTCTTTCAGTATTAGATAGCCCATTTATCGAGAAAGGCTATAGGTTACATATCATCACGCTAAGTCCAATAGGAGCGGAGCACCAATGAAGAATGTTTCAAAAAACGGAGAAAATTTATTACTATTGAGAGACGCAGACGAAGTTGCGCGGGTCAGCTAGTTTTATTATAAAATAATGTTAAACAAGTGGTTAAGTGTATATGAGTGGCTCATCAGTGAAAGACTTGTTATAACACTCGACAACAGATCATAGCTTGATGCGTATTATACCAAGCAAGCATTCGTGCACTTACGAGGGGTGATCAATAAGTAATGATAATCGAGTATTTCTAGAACGCACAAAAACCCAAATTATTTTTTTTCTGCTTGCTTATATATCCACTACTTCAGCTTCAAAAAAATGTATAAATAGGACACCATTACCGGGAGATACATTCATTTGAATACGAACTGTCGAAGAGAAAACATCAAAATGGAGAAAAATTAAATAAGAGCTGTCATCAAGTACCTCTGCCTGAAAAAGATGTCTACCAAAGACATACACAGCGACTTAGAGGAAACATTGGGGGAGTCTGCTCCTCCATATTCCACAGTCGCACGCTGGGCAAAGGAATTTAAGCTGGGCAGAACCTCCACTGAAGATGAACATCGCGAGGGACGCCCTTCCACGTCCCTTACTGGAGAAAACGTCAAAAAAGTGGAAGATATCGTGTTGGCCGATCGAAGGGTGACCGTAAGGCATGTAGCTGAGGTCACAGGGATCTCCTATGGCAGCGTTCAAAAAATCATTGTCAACAAAATGCATATGAAAAAGGTCTCTGCGCGTTGGGTACCGAGAATGTTAACCGACGAGCAAAAAAAGAAACGAGTCGACATTTCGAGGGTGAATCTTCAAAAGTTCCAGGCCGATAAAGAATTTTTTTGTCTCGTTTTGTGACCATGGACGAGACCTGGATCCACCACTTTGATCCCGAAACCAAACAACAATCAATGACTTGGAAACGAGCTTCCTCACCAACGCCGAAGAAATTCAAAGTGTCAAGTTCAGCGGGAAAGGTTATGGCGTCTGTTTTCTGGGATGCAGAAGGAATTATTATGGTGGAATATTTAGAAAAGGGGGCCACTATAACAGGCTCTTACTACGCAGGCCAAATAAGAAGATTGCGAGAAGCGATTAAATCAAAAAGACGCGGTAAACTGCGCGCTGGAGTGCTGTTTCACCAAGACAACGCCCCGGCTCACAAAGCCGCAGTTGCGATGGCTGCCATTGAAGAAACGGGGTTCGAACTGCTCGAACACCTTCCCTATTCGCCAGATCTAGCTCCCAGTGACTTCTACCTCTTTCCTCGGCTCAAAGAACACCTCCGGGGCAACAAATTTGAGGACAATATTGAAGTGATGGCCGCAGTAGAGGCATTTTGGGAGGGTCAAGACAAAGATTTTTTTTCTAAGGGAATCATGGGCTTAGAAAAAAGATACACTAAATGTATTAACTTGCAAGGAGACTATGTTGAAAAATAAAATACTTTTTTTAATCTAATAGTTCTGTTTCATATTGATTATCATTACTTATTGATCACCCCTCGTACACGTTCATGACGGCATTCACCATCCTGGTTAAGGCTTTCATCATCAGCCTTTAATAGTCCACTGCTGGACATAGGCCTCTCCTTAGAAAGGAGTTTTGGCCTACTACACCACGCTGGCCAGACGGGTTGGTATAGGGTTTGTGTCAAGTTTTCCTTCTTTTTGCAGTGCTGGTGACCTGCGTTGTTTTGCGCCCTTAGTCGGCTCTTACGACACCCACGGGATGAATTGGGGTAGTGACATTCCGTATTCTTAATCCGTCACTAAGGCTTTATTACTTTAGAATCCGGGTTCAAAGCTCCCAAGACTTTAGACATACGTCTTCCACCGTATCTTTTAGCAACCACCGTCCTTCTACAAATCAGCAGGATCAACGCTACTGCAAGAAGTAATTTCATTTTGATTTACGGCAATTAAAGCAAAACCGGCAAGTTTCTATTTGTTAATTGTCTAAGAGTGAACAATGAATGAGATACTCCTTTACAATCCAAAATCTTGATTATCACTAAGTAACTCATCAATATTTATATCAGAATTCATTAATTTAATATGTACCCCATATGAGAAGGTGTTCATTGGGTTGAATAATCTGTGTGACTTACAAGGACTTTATTTTGAATATTGAAGACTGCTTAGGTATAAAAGAAAAGACTCACAAAAAGCATTTCATTTGAGTGTTAGATCTCAACTCGTTACTAGTTAAACTTTTTCTTTTTTAAATTTCCACCATGAAATTTTCAGTAGTATTATTCTTATTTGCGTTAGCTGCTGGTTCTGTTTCAGCAGTAAAATCAAAGAAATTCTGCGGATCTGAACTGTCCAACATAGTGGCAAACTTGTGCTGGAATGTAGAGATGGTTAAGCGAGGTACTGGATGGTGGATGTCGCCTGGAGGAGGACGAGTGCTTGGAGGGATGCGTGACAAACGGGGTTTGGTCGACGAGTGCTGCTACAAACCATGTACTATTGATGAACTCCTTACATACTGCTAACAAGCTTCTCCTGAGCTGAATTGATTGTAAATACTGGTATCATGTGAATAAATAAATACGATGTCTATTAAATTTTGTGTTTGGTTTTTGTCAGTGCCGCCGGTATATAAATCCGTTAAAATTTGTGTAAACACTAAACTTACGAGCATCAAAAATACTACTTCATTTCAAGACTTCGACAAATCTTATAAATGCAATTGTAATTGTGAAATGTGTTTATTCAACGATACATAATCTACATACTAATATGAAAAACTGCAGTATATTCTGTTTGTAAGTTGTTTTAAGAAAAAGCTATTTTTGAACTGCATTAATTGCGTGCGCTGGCCTAATTATTAGTTTTTGTTTGTTGAAACGTGCAGACGGGTCACCTGATGGTGAAAAAAGTTATGAAATATACGATAGAACAGCACAAAGCAGAAAGCAGAGTGAAGCTACTAGTTCTATGTAAGGGTTCGAGTCGATAGGAGATTTATGGGCAATAAACGATTCGAAACGCTCTTCGTTGTATGTGGTCTAATGGGAGAAGCTTATACTGGGGTGCCCCTACATAGAGATGAGAACAGTATACCATATGGACTTATGCCTTATAGATTTGAAGGCGGAAGGCCGGAGTGATACTACCTCAATCTGTTCATTACACCAAGCTTCTTTGAGGCTAATTTGATCTTACTCTCTAAGTGATCTTGAAACTAGACTTCGCTCGATACGTCAATGTCTAGGATTCCGATACTGGCTGAGGCCGAACCTCGGTTTGAGAGTACTTCCATAACTACCTCTGTAAGTAATGTGCTCTCAAACCGAGGTGATACGACAAACGATATCTTCTCTGCGCTGAAGGCGCAAACTAGTGTCTATTTTGGATTAAAGTGGACTAGATTTAGTCGACCTTAATCTGAAACCTCCACTACAAGTTTGTTTCGACTCTCGATGACGTTTTTGCGAAATATTGGGTAATATTAGGGAGGCCGGTATCAAGGTCACCCGCAGAATTGTCATCCGCATAGCAATGAATACTACTTTTTGCAACATGTCATTGATATGCAGAAGAAACTGTGTGGGTGATAGCACACAGCCTTGCACCGTCGATAACAGCCTTAATGCTGTGGGATGACGGGAAAACGGCTGTCTGCAAGGAAACTGGTAACCCAGTTACATACTTTCTCTGGACGTCCATAGGAAGGGAGCTTCGAGAGAAGTGCCTTATGCCAGACCTGATAGAAGGCCTTCGCTATGTCCAAACTAACTGCACAAGCCTTTCCCTTGATCCCAATCGCCACCGGTGCTTTAGATAGATGAGAAGAGCATACTGTTGGTCATTGAGTGGCTCGTGATCTTCTAAGTAGCCGAGCAGCTGGCGGTTGGTTACGGATTCTATAATCTTAGAAAACAAGGGGGTTATGGCTATAGGCCTGTAATTGAACGGATCAGAGCGCTCGCCTTTGGAAAGAAAACTACAAAATATTTCAAGATGACAGACAGGAACTTCAATTTCATTTATTTGTATAGATGTTAACTTTTACAAATAATAATTTCTCTTATCCTGTGCTGGCTAAAGGAGAGGCCTGTGTCCAGTAGTAGATTATTATGGGCTGTTGATGGTGATGGGTGATGATGATGATGGACCTAGTCTTTTCTTTTTTCTTATAATAAGTAACCTAAGTTCGATTAGATTAATAATTCAAGATGCTTTACTTTAATTAAACTTAGAAAAAAAAACAAAAATGTAACTGGGTGCACAGCTATGTGCACCCAGTTACATTTTTGATTTTTTTTTTTAAGTTTAATTTTGACCTTTGTTAGGTCATTAAAAAAAGGAAAAAACGGAACCGTTTGCTACGGGATCTTTTTATTGTCTGTCTGTCTGTCAAGACCCTTTACTACCATTTACCACCAGAGGACCCTAAACTCTGGCGGCCTTCTCTTCCTTCCATCTACGGATTATACCACCGCCGTATTCTTCACTCGGGATTGGCCCTCTCCCGATCCCGTTCAGCGGTCTCTTTCTGGAGCATTACAGCTTCATAGAGAAACCACTGCGTCTCAGCCGTCCCCAGCATAGCTAGTAATGATTGCTGGCCAGGACAGGTCTCGTCCGATTTGGTCGACCAGGACTTTTGTCCGGATTTTTTATTGGATAATCCTTAGAATTTGTGACGTGTCTGTGGAGGAGATGAATAAAGTAACAAATTGGGCGTCGTAGAAAAGCTGTCTTATGACAGCCATTAGTAATGAGAACTCGGTAGGGTACAATCCATAGCAAAAGTGTATAGGCCTTCGTGTCTGTTTTCTAAAATGTGTGAAATCTGTAACAGACTTTAACTCACTTTTTTAACCTTAACACATTTGTACTGAGGATAGAAAAGAAACACGATAAAATAACACTATGTAAAATATACATAGTAGGCCAAAACCTCCTTTCAGAGGAGAGGCTTATGTCCAGTAGTGGACTATCATAGGCTGTTGATGTGAAAATTTACATGTTGCCATGTAGGTTTTACATCGTGTTATTATATCGTGTTTCTTTGCTGATTTAAAAAGATCTTGTTAATTGAAATTTATTTGTATTCCAATATTTTATCCATTAACTTATTTTCGTTTACAAATAGTGTTAATCAAGTCCTTTGATATATGTGAGTAGCTCATCATAAGTGCAAATCTTGTTACAGCACTCGAGTACAGTCCTACGTTTGACGAGTATACCAGCAAGCATTCGTGCTCTTTCCGATAACGTCCAATTTTTATTTCAGCACTTCAAAGTCCCAGTAGAAAACGCCTAACATTTTATATAGCAATCCAACGCATTTGTGACTCCTGAGTTGCAGACGTTCATGGGCGGCGATGGTCACTTTCCATCAGGTGACCCGTCTGCTCGTCTGCACCCTCTAAATAAAAAACAAAAAAAAAAAAATAGATGTCTTCCACATTATTTCTCAGTAGTTTTAATTGCCACCTCTCTACATAACAACAAGATCAACTCTACTGCAAAAGCATTTACTGCTTTTATTTAAGGAATTTATCAAAGCCAGTGCCTGAAATTCTGAGGTTGTTATTTATCTAAGAAATAACTACGAATAAAGATTCTTCTTTATAATTCAAACCCTTTCATATCACTAAGTAACTTTTTATATCAAATTTATATCAAAATTCTAAAAATATCACATGTCAGCCAAATATGATAAGGTGTTTAGTGAATTGAATAATGTGGGTGACTTACAAGAGGTAAAACTGTCATAAATTTATCGATATTATTTTGAATATTGATGATTACTTAGATATAAAAGAAGAGACTCCGTTGAAATCATTTCATTTGAGCGTTACATCTCAACACGTGACTACTACTTAAAAGCTTATATACTTAAAACTTTTACAATGAAATATTCAGTAGTATTATTGTTAGTTGTTTATTGTGTCTATGGTTCCGAGTCAGCTGAACAATCCAAGAAATTCTGCGGTCCTGATCTTGCCGAGATAGTAGCGAGATTGTGCTGGAATGTAGAGATGGTGAAGCGTGGTGATGGATGGTGGATGAGGCCAGAAGGAGGACGAGTGCTTGGGGGGATGCGTGACAAACGGGGTCTGGTCGACGAGTGCTGTTACAAGTCCTGTACTATCGATGAACTGCTCACCTACTGCTAACCTATCTCTTCTACACTACACTGATTGTAAATACAACTTCATGTGAATAAATTAATACATTGTCAATTCAATTTTGTATTTTTTACTTTTTTTTTTTATTATGTTGGTGCCCAGTTCAGTTTCCTGTAGATGACTGACATCGACAAGTCTCCAATGCCACTGTAATATTTGAGGTGAATAGGGTTTATACGTTGATATATAATCTACATTAAACTTAACTTACTTAACTTAAACTTAAGGGTTTTTTGTTTGAATGAATGTTCTCATATCTCATTTCGTATCGCATCGCATTCTATTAAAATTAATAAAAACTTTATGCATATAAAAAAATTACTGCCTAAGCAACCTAGAGATTTAAGCAAGGTCTTTATTTCACTTCATCAACAGCCTTTAACAGTCCATTGCTGGACATAGGCTTCTCCTTAAAAAAGAGATTTTGGCCTACTACACCACACTGGCCAGACGGGTTAGTAAAGAGTTAGTTTCAAGTTTTCCTACCCTTTGCAGTGCTGTTCTCCTGCTTAGTTTGCTCCCTTAGTCGGCTCTTACGACATCCATGGAACAAGAGATCCTCCGTCTTATCCAGTGCCACCCTTAAGCCCAACGCTTCAATGCGCCCGACCACCAGAGAGACTCCCCTGGTTGCTAGGTGCGTGGCCTCTTAAAAGTCCGCCCCTCTTGCTGTAATCAGCGTGTCATCGGCGAAACAAATAACGCCTAGCTAGGGGAGGAGGCGATCTCGAAGGGCCCAGTCGTAACCCATGTTCCACAGGAGTGATCCAAAAACAGACCCCTGCGGAACACCACACCACATGGGCCGACGCCTCAAGACACTATCTTGGTCGAACGCCCCGCTCGAAAACCGAATTGGGGGTCCGACAGATCGGGGCCCACCCTCACCTTTTTTTTTACCTGTGGAAACCCCCTTGGGCCGTCACCCCACCGGGGCTTGAGGCAGGGTGGTGTGTCGGAATTGGACCGACTAAAACTACACGGTGTGCCACTCTGCGTCTACCACTTTCCGCCGCTTCCTTCTGCGAGATGACGTCTTCGCAGAAGGATGCGACCGCGGTGAAACATGTGTCACTACCGGCCATGAAGCGTATGACGGCCGGTAGCGAGAGATCCCTTCCGATGACTGCAATGAGAAGTCAGCGCTGCAATCACAGTGGTGACAGGCGTTACTCAATTCCCTCCTAGCGACCGAGTACAGGTACTTCCCGAAGCAGCCTTGCCCGGCAAGGACCTGCGTCAGCCGAAAGGAAATGGTCCCGTGCTGCCGCTCTGCCCACTCGAAGATCACCGGCTGGAGTACCACATAGCGGCGAGTGGCTTCCATTGCTAGCTACTGACCCTCCAATGTTGGCAGTTCAGCACCTCAAATCGCCTCTAGTCAGCTTCTTACTGGCGCTGGCTTCTTGTATGGATACCTTCCGTGTCGTCTTTAGGTAAAACCGGCATACTTTTATCCAACTTCTGACACCAAACAGGCCATTATCCATAGCAGCTTACACTAACTTACTACTATTAACACAATTGACAAAACATGGCCTGTGTAAAGTCACTCAGCGTATACAAAACCAAATTTTAATGTACCGTTTAAAATATTGCTTTGAGCGCACGCAACGTCCGCGTCAACAGTACAAGCTGTAGAAGGTTAGTACGTGTACACGGCACCTCAAATAGTGGCGGCCGCCTCCACCGTCCTATGTACTCGTGTACTACAGAACAGCCTGGTTCTTTATAACACCTCTTGGGACTTTTAATACATACTTGGCTAACGACACACCTCGTCTCATTCACGTCATCTCTGAATCCGATCATCTGAATGAAAATGTAGCTCACTTAGGACCCATAATATTTTGTGGCCGTGGTGCTTCCCTGTTTAAAAGAGTGTATGCATATTTTACTTCATTTTGTCTCCCGCTAAGGAGGGAAGTGGATTTATTATATTTCCAAGTTCTCAAATTTTCTTCTGATTAATTTCGTTGCGGGTTCCAAGACAGTTTAATTTTTTTACTGGAACTGCCCGAGTGTCATAACTCGGTGTTTATGGGTCACTGCTGTTAATTCTGGTGTACAGGAGTTACTGTGGTGGGCGTATAGGAGGGGTTAGTCCCATAAAAAAAAAATCGTCTCACCTCAGGTCTACTGTTGAACTAAGTTTAACTATATTAATATGTACTATTGTTTTTCAGGATGAATTTAATGCTGTTTCGAATCAGAAAGATTTTAGCTTATTCATAATTATTTTTTCTGTAATTTCAATAGGAATAGGATTGTAAAGATGCTTAATACACAGAGACAGTAATTAATCACTAATTAGATGAATTGCAAACACAGTTTATTGCAAAAGTGTGTGGGAGTTCATATTAGATTAGATAGATTAGAATAGAATAAGAAACAGCTCCAACAATTTTAATGAAATTGAGTATACAGATGGTTTCGGGGACGATTAATCGATCTAGGTAGGTTTTATTTTAGAAAATTTACCGAAAAAAATACCTAGCAAAGCCCGGTCATCCAGGTACTTATATTTATAAAGTTATAAATAATTGTCATTTATTAACATCACAGTTCTATTTTAGAAAGTCATGTTAACTAATTCGTTAACAGTATGTGAGTAGCTCGTCAATTGTGCAAGATTTGTTTCACTCGTCGATGGGTCTACGCTTGACGCATTTGTGCACTTTGAGACTGTATCCTGCACCTGTAGACTGCACAGATGGCGCAGTGGTTTAAGTGGTCGCCACGCCGCTTCCTACTGCGCCGGGTGTTGTGGGTTCAAACCCCACATGGGATGACACTTTGTGTGACCCACAAATTGTTGTTCTGAGTCTGGGTGTTCTTTGTGTCCGTTTCATGTATGTTTGTAAAGTCCCCCGCGACACAGAATTTATTCCTAATGCGGGAGTTGTCTTTTTAAAAAACAAAATAAAAAAAAAGATCCACCATCTTAATTAAGGCTTTATCACTGCTGCTATGATTTTAGACAGCCATCTTCCACAGTATTTTTCAACAGTTTCAGCTGCGGATGTAGGTCATCTACATACCACCACCATGATCAACGCTACTGCAAGAGACGAATTCATTTTGATTTTAGGAAATTACCGCAAAGGGCCGTGGCTGCCACTTCGTAGGAGTGACCTACAAATAAGTTGTGTGAAAGGTTTCGTATTGTAAAGAAGTATCTTTACAATACAAAATATTTTATATCTCTTAGTAACTCATCAATATTTAAATCGGGATTCATTAATATAATGTGTCACTTCCATATGAGAAGGTGTTTATTGGGTTGAATAATCTGCGTGACTTACAAGGGGTAAAACTGTCAAGATCGCTTATATTTATCGATATTATATTGAATATTAATAACTTCTCAGGTATAAAAGGAGAGTTTCCAATGATACCATTACATTTGAGTGTTACACCTCAACACACCATAACGTTCTCATACTTTAAACTTCAATCATGAAATTTTCAGTAGTATTACTCTTAGTTGCGTTGGTCAGTGGTTACGTTTCACCTGAAAAATCCAAGAAATTTTGTGGTCCTGAACTGTCTAATATAGTGGCGAATTTGTGCTGGAATGTAGAGATGGTGAAGCGTGGTGCTGGATGGTGGATGCCACCGGCACCTGGGCGTATGCTTGGAGGGATGCGCGACAAACGGGGTCTGGTCGACGAGTGCTGCTACAAACCTTGTACTATTGATGAACTGCTAACATACTGCTAACTGACGTCTCCTGTACTGCACTGATTGTAAATACAACTTCATGTGAATAAATAAATACTTGCACATTTAAATGTCTATTTTAATTTAGGTTCCTTTTAGGATATAATTTCGTTTAATTTTTGGTTTAGTTCGGTTAAACTAGGAAGTTTGTTCTGTAAGTGCCGAAAATTTAACTCATGTTAAAATCTGAGAATCATAGAATTTCTACCGGCACCAAAATCATCTGAATTTTTACGGACAGATTCAGAATGTTTCGGCGCAATATTTTTGATATGAAAAATAACGTACAACGCTATTTAGAATTCGAATATATATATAGGATTTCTTATTAAAATCAAAGTTTTAAATTTTAATTTAAAGTGTTGTATTAGAGTTTATTTGATTACTCTCATAATAGTCACTCAGGTTTCTAATAAGTAGAATCTACTAATAAGTGGTTTATTAGTTTATAATTTTATTTTATTTTAAATTTATTTTTATTGTCAGTTAAAATCTTAACTATTTGTACCTCAGGATTTTAATAAATAGGTTCAACTACGTTTAAAATTTTAACAAAGAGAAATCGTTTTTTTATGGGAATAATACCTCCTACACGCCACCACTGTAACTCTTGTATACCAGGATCAACAGCACATATCACATCACATCAACAGCTCTTATTAGTCCACTGTTGGACATAGGCCTCTCCTTAGAAAGGAGGTTATAGCCTACTATACCACGGTGGCCAGACGGGTTGGTAGAGGGTTCGTGTCAAGTTTTCCTTCTCTTTGCAGTGCTGTTGTCCTGCAGAGTTTGCTCCCTTAGTCGGCTCTTACGACACCCACGAGATGAGTGGGGTGTGATGACACTCCGTATTCTTAATCCGTCACCACACGTACATTTGGATCAACTGCAGTGACCCACGAATACACAGAATTATAACAATTGGAAAATTAAAGGCAAAAAATTAACTATCTTGGAACCCGCAACGAAATTAATTAAAAGAAATTATCTTCTGCGGTATTTCCGGATCGATACGACCTTCAAACTTTCAAGAGCGTACTTCTTTCTGACTCGTATGCTAGTTTGCCCACCCTTCCATATATATATATTAAAACTAATACTATTGTGTCAGTTTAATGTAAGTGCTTCAATAGTCGGACGTCTGTAATTCAGGTGATCTATCCTGTCGCTTATTTCTTTTCCAGAAGTCTTTGTCTTCAAATCTTCAAGGAAGATATAAACACAGTAGTAAATTTATTATGACTTAGATGACGATTAATAGTAGATGGTGAGAAATTTATAAATATGTTACTAATGTTGGTAATAACCAATAGAGTCAAAATTAACTGTAGTGGGTTTGTCAGTCTGGATATTGTTACATGGCCTGGTGGTCTGGATATAGCTTGAAAAGTTTGATCTTATATCACTAAATCTGGACTATACGTGAAAGAGCAGTTATACCTTTTTTTTTTTTTTTTTTTCGTGCGGAAATCCCCTCGGATACCACCTGTCGGTGGCATGTCGGACTCGAACCGACTAAAACCGCACGCCGTCGCCGGGTACTAATAGCCGGGGAACCAGGTATACCCTAGAAAGGAAGTCCCTGGTGAAAGCAGATATACCTGAAAATACTCTGCCTTAGACTAACTTGTAGGTTTTTTCTAAATCTGATACTTTTCTTACTCAATTTTTAGTACCAACGTAATAAACGTACCTATATGATGATGAATTAAGTAAAAAGTTATTTTACCTTTAATCTGCGTAATATACTTGAAGATGTCTTGTGTTACATGTACTGATGATGGGAAGGGGTTCCTGCAAAATAGGATTAGCTTGACTAGTCTTTAGTGAACCTTATTGCAGATCCAGAGGTCGTAGGCTCGATTATATATATATATGTATACTCGATATGACCTGGCACTTAGACCAGTATCGTATTGTTACCTATCTATGGAGGCTTGTTGTTAGCAACATGAACACACATTTGTATTAACCATAAATTTATTAGTCTGTAAGCCTACTTCAAAAGTAAATAAATAAACTATTAAAAAAATAAAACGACCAAATGTTGTTGGTATGATTACGATCAGTTTTGTTCTGTGTCTTGGTGTCATTTTTATATAATGCTTATATGTATTTAGAAATAACATAAACACAACACAACACAACAATAGAACAATCCGTGTGGTGACGGACTAAGAATACAGAGTGTCACCACCCCTATTCATCCCGTGGGTGTCGTAAGAGACGACTAAGGGAGCAAACTACGCAGGACAACAGCACTGCAGAGAGAAGGAAAACTTGACATAAACCCTATACCAACCCGTCTGGCCAGCATGGTATAGTAGGCCAAAACCTCCTTTCTAAGGCTCTCCTTAGAAAGGAGGTTTTGGCCTACTATACCTATACTTTATGTCCAGCAGTGGACTATTAAAGGCTGTTGATATGATGATGATGTGTATTTAGAAAGACATAAGTATGGTTGTGAGCAGCTTGTTTACCATGGTACAGGTTTTCTCTAGTTTAGGATCAGACGTTGGTGTGTGAGATTTGTGAGGTCGGTTATTGTGTAAAGTTATTTATATGAAGTTATAATTAGTTTACATTTATTTATATATAGATTCATTTCTCTTACTTTTATTTTAAAATAGTGTTGATCAAGTCGCTGACAACTCATCATCAATAGTGCAAGGCTTGTTGCAGCACTGGTTGACATGACCGTCTTCGTTGTCCCAGCACAAATCACCTGAGACTTTAGATAGCCATCATACATTACTACACAGAACCATGATACGAGTAGCTAGTGACCGCATTTTCCTAGCTTTTATTTGTTTTAGACTGAACTACCTAGTTCAGTCTAAAACAAATTGTTCCGAAAATTGTCAGCTACAGAATAAAAACAAACTCTTCTATCTTGAAACTATTTTAAATTTATGACTAAATTTAAAATATATTTCTTTTTCTTGAAAACCATTGGCCACCTATGCATAAATAAAAAAATAAAAGTAAATCAGTCACTCCTTTATTTGCAAAAACAAACGTCTCGCGCTTTTTGTGTTATTTTATTTATTTATCTTAGGAAAGCTTACAGACTAAAATATTGACATACACAGCTGAGTAATGCTTAAATCTACTATATAAAAATAAGTCGGGTTTTCCTTCCTGACGATATAACTCCAAAACGCACGAACCGATTTCCACGGTTTTGCATTCGTTGGAAAGGTCTCGGGCTCCGTGTGGTTTATAGCAAAGAAAATTTAGGAAAATTTCAACAGAAAAGCGGGAAAATCTTTTTTCACATACAGCGCCACAAACCAATATTTTAAGTAGATGGCGCCGGTGCGTGATACATTGTTTGACAGCTACTCATTGTTCTCTGCTCAGTTAATTTCATGTGACAAACCGGTATTGTTTCACTGTGAAATTGTGAAAAAAAGTAAAAAAAAATAAGTTCAATATTTATTTATTTATTTTTTATTTAAATTTCGTTTCCTAACATTTCAATTGGAAACCATCAAATCAATCGCGTGTATTGTGCAAATTTGAAAATCTTTTTTCACATACAGCGCCATCTCTGATACATAGCATGTACTACAAACCAATATTTTAAGTAGATGGCGCCGGTGCGTGATACATTGTTTGACAGCTACTCAATGTTCTCTGCTCAGTTAATTTCATGTGACAAACCGGTATTGTGTTAACTGTGAAATTGTGAAAAAAAAAAGTAAAAAAATAAGTTATTCGTTTCCTAACATTTCAATTGGAAATCATCAAATCAATCACGTGTATTGTGCAAATTTTTATTCAATTTCAACAGCAGGCATTTGTCTTTAAGGTGGTAAGTTGAGCTGTGTAAATTATGTGGATCGTGCATTTGAGGTTAAATTCACCACTCTGTCCATAGTCCAAAATGCCTAGAGGAGGACGTGCGAACATCGGCCGCCGCACAAGACATGCAAGCCAGCAACAAGTGTATTCACAGAACATAAGCGAAGAAAGACAAAATATAATAAGAGAAAATGCCCGATTGAGACAACGCGTGAGCACACGAAGATTATTGGCATCATACAATCGCTTGGCATTCCAATATGATCCCACTGCGAACTACAGTGATGATGAAAATTTAGATATTGGACCAATGACGACTATATGCCGATATTGCAATGCGTTAAAGTTCAAAAGAGAAACGGCTGGATTGTGCTGCGCAAGTGGAAAAGTCAAACTGGATCCATTACTTACACCACACAGCCACTGAAACCATTGTTCGATGGAAGTGATCCCGATTCCAGCCATTTTCTTCAACACATCCTTGAATACAATAACTGCTTTCGCATGACTTCCTTTGGAGCTAATATCATTCGAGAAGGCGGCTTCATGCCAACTTGCAAGTTAAAAGATACAACACACATAACCAATCACTCACACCAACACAATGAATTGCAACACATAACAACTACATATACACCACACACTACACCATCACACGATCAGAAGTTACACCGTATTCTTCAACAAATGATTGTTTGCAATTACAGATACAAGGACAAATATATCATTGCATGGTTCAATGGTGCCAACACCAGATGAACCGCATCAATTTCTGCAAATATATTTCATTTCGTCGATGGTGGATCAGCTGAATGTGCGGTGCAATATAGGGAACACAACAGTTAAAGAGACGAATTATTGAACAGTTGCAAGCATTTTTTCACGCTAATAATGCTGTGGTTAATATGTTCAAAACAGCATTGGAACGAATGCCATCGGATACGCACAAATTTGTCATAAGAGCGGATTGTACCCCAACAGGTGAACATGTGCGAAGATTCAATGCACCCACCGTTAATGATGTTGCTGCAATTATTGTTGGCGATACAACTAAATCGCGAGACATTGTCGTTCAGCGAAGAAGCAATATCATGCATCGTGTAAACGAGACACATCGTTTGTACGATGCGTTACAATATCCAATCATTTATTGGTAAGGGCAAAACGGATACGACATCACGTTGAAGATGGTCGATCCAATTCCACGTACAATATTCACACACCAATTATTGCTATTATTGGTTTCCATTAACAATTCATTTAATTTTGCATTTTCAGGCGTATCAACGAACAAAAATTTAAGCGCAATGAATTACTATGCGTATCGTATGATGATTCGTACACATGAGGAGAATGTCATTCTGAAGTGCCGTCGGCTATTCCAGCAATTCGCTGTCGACATGTATGTCAAAGTCGAGACCGAACGTTTAGCGTTCATCCGATTCAATCAGACAAAGCTACGATCTGAGGACTATATACACTTGCGTGATGCTATTCATTCAGATGGTGATGTTCAGAATATTGGACGTCTGAAGATTCTCCCATCATCTTATATCGGAAGCCCACGCCACATGCACGAATACGCTCAACACGCTATGACGTACGTGCGAAATTATGGAACTCCGGATTTATTTATTACGTTCACATGCAATCCGAAGTGGACGGAAATTGAACGTGAGTTGGAACCGGGCCAAAAACCGCAAGATCGCCATGACATAATCGCCAGAGTATTTCAGCAAAAACTCAAGGTTATGATGGATGGATAGTTGCTGAAACAGTCACAGGGAACGATGGATATCCAGTTTATCGTCGGCGTTCAGATAATGGTCAGGTAATGGTAAGAAGATAATGGTCGAACTATCAAAGTTAAAGTTCAAAATCAAGAGATTGAGATCGGAAATGAATTCATTGTACCATATTGCCCGCTGCTATCACGAATTTTCGAAACACATGCAAACGTTGAGAGTTGTCATTCGGCCAAATCAATCAAATATTTGTGCAAGTACGTCACAAAAGGCAGCGACATGGCTGTGTTTGGTATTGCGTCGGAAAATGCGAATGACGAAATCAGCAACTTCCAAATGGGCAGATACGTCAGTACTAATGAAGCACTGTGGGGATTATTGTCATTTCAAATTCATGAAAGATATCTCACAGTTGTACATTTAGCAGTGCATTATGAAAATGGCCAAAGAGTTTACTTCACTGAGGCTAATGCGGCACAACGAGCTGAGAGACCACCATCGACAACATTGACTAGCTTCTTTGCAATGTGTGAAGCAGATCCATTCGCAGCGACGCTGATGTACGTTGAAATGCCCAAGTATTACACTTGGAATCAATCAACAAAAAAATTCCAACGTCGTAAACAAGGAACCCCAGTTCCAGATTGGCCACAGGTGTTTTCCACTGATGCACTAGGTCGCATGTATACTGTTCATCCTAGAAATGATGAATGTTTTTATTTGCGACTGCTATTGGTAAATGTACGTGGACCAAAATCATTTGCGCATTTGAAAACTGTGAATGGCCACCAATGCCAAACATATCGAGAAGCATGTCAACTATTGGGTTTGCTGGAGAACGATTCTCATTGGGATTTAACACTTGCGGATTCAGTTTTTTCATTAAATGCGTACCAAATACGAACGCTGTTCGCAATTATCATCACCACATGTTTTCCTTCACAACCAATTCAGTTATGGAACAAATACAAAGACGACATATGTGAAGATATCTTGCATCGCGCATTCAAACGAATAATCCTGACATCCAAATAACCGATGAAATCTACAATGAAGGATTGATTCTGATTGAGGATCAATGCTTGACTATTGCAAACAAGCTACTGATTGAAGTAGGAATGATTGCGCCAAATCGATCGATGCACGATGCATTCAACTAAGAATTAAATCGAGAGCTGCAATACAATGTTGATACATTGCAGGAATTCGTTCAAAATAATGTGCCGTTGCTGAATGAACAGCAAAAACAAGTATGCAAGCGGTGGACAACATGCAATATTTCCCGATCCAGTGCAATGGGAAAATTGTTGAAGCAATGCAAGCTCATTATTTGGGATGAGTGCACAATGGCACATAAGAAATCACTTGAAGCACTTAACTTCACACTGAAGGATCTTCGGCGAAATAACAACATCTTTGGCGGTTTGATGATATTGTTGGCAGGCGATTTCAGGCAGACGTTGCCAGTAATTCCCCGTGGAACGCCTGCAGATGAATTGAATGCTTGCCTGAAGGCATCACCTTTATGGAATAACGTAAAAACATTATCGCTAACCACTAATATGAGAGTTCAACTTCAAAATGATCAAAGTGCTGCACAATTTTCCAAACAATTGTTAGCTGTTGGAAATGGAAAAGTCCCAGTTGATGCGACATCTGGATTAATTACTCTTACCAACGACTTTTGCCGATTTGTAGACTCTCAATTAGCTCTTATTGAAAATGTTTTCCCAAACATTAGTGAGAATTATCAGAATTATGCTTGGTTAACGAGCAATTCTTGCCGCAAAGAATAATGACGTATAACGCTTCGATTCAGTATTTACTTTGGATTCACTTTCATTTACTTAGAGAAGTTCAACTAAATAACACTTCAGTTTTGTAATCGAAATGAATTCATTACTGTTGTGAAATAAAATAAAATTTTTCCTTTTCAAATATAAAACAAAACAAAAAATTCTTCTTCTTTTAATCACCAAACGAAATGTTACATAAAACGAAGCCATCTGGTGGCGAAACGGAGTTCGCCGGGTTTGCTAGTTGCTAATAAAAAGCTTCCACATATAAATAACCTAATAATAAACAACAGTTATTTATAATATTTCCAGTTGATCTGAACAGCAAGTGTCAGCAAAGAATAAAAACCAAAATTACTTACTATGATTTTTTATGGTTATATGCGAGGGCATATAACCATAAAAAATCATTGTAAGTAATTTTTTTTTTGTGTTGTTCATATTGTTTTTTGGTTTTTATTTTTTTCTTAAGTTTTGAAGGAGCCTTCAATCCTTCAACGTCAATGTTTAAGGAGCCGAAGAAAAAAAGGTGCCCACAAAAGTTGTTCGCAATCGGAGCGTTAATAAAAAATTAATAGTGTTTTTTTCCGACGCAGTAGAACAGTAGCAGTAATTCCGCTAGAAGACCGTAGAAGTTACTAATGAATGGTATTTTGATGTCTGTCTGCCTCAAGCTTGCTTGTTTGCCTATTCAACTCGAATAGCGAGCGACCACAGAGCGATGATCGTGACATTCTTTTTAGGAAGACAACGCATCCGCTCACACAGATACTGGAGCCATGGCCGATTTGAATACTTCGGGGATAAAATTATTATCAGTACCCGCATACAGCCTAGATATAGCTCGGTGTGATTTTTTTATTTGTCACGGTAAATTTTCATACTACTTTTGAAACCGCCCACAAATCGCAAATAAACTTTTCCTATGTCAAACCCCTTTATATTCTAAAATTTCTCATCAATATTAATATCAAAATTCATTAGTATAAAACGTCACTATGATGGAAGGTGTTCAATGAGTTAAATAATATGTGGGTGAATTAGAAGGTTTAAGATTGTTTCGCATCCTTCAGATAAGCGACTATATTTTGAATATTCATGACTGCTTAGGTATAAAAGAACAGAGTCTGAAGAAAACATTTCATTTATGTCTTACACCTAAACACGTAACCACTACTTAAAGGTTCCTTTACCTCCACCATGAAATTTTTAGTAGCATTATCGTTAGTTGCGTTGGTATATGGTCATGAATCGTCTGAAAAATCCAAGAAATTCTGCGGCCCTGAACTCTCCGAGATAGTAGCGAGATTGTGCTGGAATGTAGCGATGGTTAAACGCGGTGATGGATGGTGGATGAGGCCGGAAGGAGGACGAGTGCTTGGAGGGATGCGTGACAAAAGGGGTCTGGTCGACGAGTGTTGCTATAAACCTTGTACTAGTGAAGAACTGCTCTCATACTGCTAACGGGTTTTTTCTGACACTGCTTTGTAAATACAAGTTCATGTGAATAAATAAATACTATGTCAGTTAAATTTCGTATTTAATTTTGGTTGTTGGGTTGAAGTTTTCTTTATTTGTATGTTTGTTTAAGCTAGAACAATAACAAGTAATTAAAATATTATATTCCTTGTGACTGTTAGGTTCACTAGTATTAGGGTTCATCTCACAGCTAGCCTTAAATATGATTTTCTTAAGTTAGATACGAGATAAAGCGTTCTCGAACTGATTAAGCCGCGTGCGCTGACATGATTATTATTGATACGTAAGTAGAATTTTGTATAAAATTTGGTTCGTTGTCCATTTATTCATATTCTCACATTAATACTTCAGTATAGTTGTATAGAAAACAAGTTTCCTGTGCTGAACCTTAAAAAAAGAAATTAATGAAATCGCCAACCAACCGCTACCAATCGCTCTATGGAGACGCTATTCCGCCAAGAGACATGGCCAAAATACTGCAGTATTCGCGACTGTACTTTGGTTGTCAGACGCTCTGTAATGCCGAGCTCCTGGAGTATGGGGATTAATCTCTATTTCCCTTGGTCATGCCAAAACTAGAGAAACGTATCATTACCGATTTCGAGTAACACATTTCAGAACTCTTATGCATCAATATTGCCATCAAATGCAATTACGTAATGGACCAGAGTCTTGAACGTTTGAGTCATGTTTTTCTTCATTACCTCATCCTATAGGTAATGTTTTTCTTAAATGTATACAAAAAAAAAGCCGTGTGGTGTCGTAGGACACCCGATAGGAACGAAGTTGTGACGATCGAGTAAAACTGATTCGACACGATTTTAATTACAACGCCATCTATGAAAGCGGCTATTACCTCCATATTTTTCAGTTGGTTTCTAATTAAAACAATTTATACATTGATAAAATCTCCTTGAGAAATGATTTCCTATCTATTAGATAGATGGCGCTGAATGACTGACAAGTGACAATTCAAAATAAATACTGAGATGAAAAGTAATGATTTCCTATCTATTCGATAGATGGCGCTGAATGACTGACATAAAAAGTGTCGTTACAACTTTTCGTGAGATTTTTTTCCGTCTAGCCTCCTTTCACAACGCGCGATAAGGAACTTCGTTCCAACAAAAGACCATTAAGTAAGTAAGTAAGACCAATCTTTCGTTAGTTATGAATTTGCGCAACGATAACTGTACTGTTTCACCGCTACCACTACACGTATCTAAGAAAAAACACCCTAACTAATTAATGCAGCTATCACAAACCCGATAGAAGATTGCTCGTTGCACTTCTGTTGCAATCCGGGCAGGCCTTCTTTCGATATTTCCGTCAGTTCAGCGCAGTTATAATTCGTTTCAGCAGAGTACTCACGGTGAACCTTGATTGACTCTGTAAAAAAATTCTGTTGAGTATCAACGATCAGGCGTTCCTTGCGTTGCATGAAGCTCTCGAAACCGCGAAAGTCAGCATAACGTTAACTTTCAGAGATCAGACGAAGTCTGTGATGACTAAGACAGAACATGATGTGCATAATCAATCATTATACCTGAATGCTTTAGAATTTATCGGACTGACTAACTTACTTAAGTCCGTGTGGTGACGGATTAAGAATACAAATTGTCACCACCCCAATTCATCCCGTGGGTGTCGTAAGAGCCGATTAAGGGAGCAAACTAAGCAGGACAACAGCACTGCAAAGAGAAGGAAAACTTGAAACAAACCCTATACCAACCCGTCTGGCCAGCG